GAAAAAGAAAGGGATTAGACATACCAGAAAATAAGTCACACCTCTGCTATTTGGAGAATGAATTTGGTTGGACCAGAGAATAGCAGTATGAGCATGAGCTGTCCTTGAGATGGTGCCAGACCAAATTGATGGCCTGGATGAGTTTTGGGTGCAGATCCTGTATCTGTGTTTTCTAGCTTTCTCTTTGCCATATACCACAGATTCTGATTGAGAGAGTTCCCTGGCCTGTCCAGTACTGTAATATTGTTAGCCTCTAGTCATTTCCTTTTTTGACATAGCAAAGCTAAGGTCACACTCGTCTCCTCAGTCCTGGGATCCCTAGACAGCCTCACCAAAGTCTGGCCAGCTACAGCTTTTGACTGGTCAGCTGACCTGACTTTGACGAGGGTGTCTAGGGATCCCAGAACAAAGAAGACTAATGTGACCTTAGCTTAACCACTTGCCGCTTGGTGGTATGTATGTACTTGCCATGGCTGTTGTGGACAGAGAAACAAACAGGGGAAAGTGCTGATGCACACTAACAATCCTGTTTGGGTAAAGAGAGATTGAAAGAATCGCTCACTATAACCCAAGAGTGCTTGAGAGGCTTGTGAGTATACTGTTGTCCCCCACCAAGGTCAATGATTGGTTATTTTCCTGTTGATAAAGCACTTACTAGTTGACTCATCAGAGAATATTACATTTTCCCGGCTCTTGGTCTAGTGGAGGTACTTCTTGCAAAAAGCAAGGCATTTCCTTTTCATATTGAGCACAAGTAAGGAAAGCCAAGATCATTCTGGAGCTGATGTTGAATTGTATGTCTGCTTTTAGGTGTTTTTGCTTTAAAATTGATATGTTGGACAGTAATTTACTAGAGCTAGTTAGTCTGAGTGGATGTCTTCAAGGGGTCCCAGGGGGAAGGCTCACCATGTTGAGTCTTTTCAGCTCACTTCACCCACAACCCCATCGTACTTTATACAAGATCTAGTCAAGCCCTTATTTCAAAGTATGATTTACGTCTTCCTCTTGATGGCATGTGTAACATACCTGAAAATGACAATACAGATTGTATTGTGTGTCAGATTAGTGTCTTAATTATGATCACTCTCTGATCTAAGTCATGTCTGCAATGAGCAACAAGTGCTGTCTGAGAGTGTTGCAAACCCTCCTCACTGCCAGCCAAAAATATTTTAATGATATTGATGTTTGATGCCCAATATTGTTCATGACAATACCGTTCCCACAACATATGAAATTATTTGGATTATATTTGCATTTGAATCTTTTTATTTACTGTATATAAATAACCTGGATATTTTAGGTTACTGTTTAAAATGAACTTGGAAATTTTTGGTGAAATTATAGAACCTAACCCCTACAATCTGGATGACGTTACAGTCCTGTCATCGAAAAATCTAGGTCGAAGGCTGGGTTACATGAACATGCCATCATTGGACATTGCAAACTTTCTGTTAGGAGCAAAGGCCAGGGTGACGGATAAGACTAGCCATAAGTACACAAACCTCTTAACCCATGAATGGCGGTATATTTTGAAGCCGAAAATAAAAGATTCCGGGCGACTACAAAATCGGCAGGCAAAGCTTCTCCGGAGTCTGTCCGCCTGTCAGCTACGGCCCGATACAGTGTCACACTGGCGGGACGCCCGGCAATATTTATTTTCTTGGGTGTCTCATATGTGGGATACCTGTCGTCAGTGGGTTAAGAGTGTGATGAGACTCATTAGACGCATAGAAGGGGGCTCTTGCATTTTTCTCTTTGATAAACGAATGTGGAATGTAACGTGCGTAAGCCATGACTGGAAGAGCACTGGCAATTTCCATGCTTCGCAATCTATTCCTGGCTGCTGTGACCAGGAGTGTAAATTATATTATGGAAAATTGAAAATTATGAAGAAAATAAGGTATATGAAACAACCAAATGTTCTTTTTTTTTCCACAAAGTTATTTACTACAGAGATAGTTTAAGCAAGAAAAATAGTATATTACCAGGATAAAGCAAATCAAAAGACAAATAAAACAGCTAAAAAGCTTAAAAAAAAAAAAAAAAAAAAATGCGCAAAATAATTTTTGCAAATGAGAGGCACATAGTCTTGTCACCATTCATGAGTGTTCCCGTGCACTCCCAGCCTACGCACCACTCAATCAGGATATTGGCCAATTACATAACCTATACTTTCAGCAATGTGATTTCTGTGACACAACTGTGTCCAACAGGTTAACAGCCTGCTGACAGGCATGGCTATACCCTTTGTGGAAAGCCTGCCTACAAGGCTAGACAGTTTCCAGTAGTCACTGGAATGAGTGCCATACAAAACATTTTGGCACCATCAGTATAGAGTTAATACTGATTCTGCTTCTGATTTTGCATCAAATGATTATTGAGAATGGTAGATACACAATTTGGAAGTTTGAATATCTTGTGTGTTTGTACTGAAACTTCACACATACTTCAATAGATTTCTCAATGCATTTCAAACCTACAAAGTGAAATTTTAAAATGTCTGTCAAATTGAAGGCATGTATAGACATTATGAAGATAGAGGTATTAAAAGGAAGATAATGTACTTTATTATTTTTGTGAATGTAGCTTTTATGGAAGTAAATACTGTAACAAACAAGTGTTCAGATTAAGATTGAAATTGAATATTTTTAATGAAAATGAGTACTTATTAAAAATTGGTAATTAAAAAGTTGATAATGCTCAGTTTTTCCAAGCCCACATACAGAGGTATGAGGTGTAAAATCGTTTATGTGTTGTATTAAATTTTTCTATATCTAACAAAATTAATTAGACCACAAATGTTTTACATACATTTTTTTTTTTTTGTCCACCTGTTTTAAAAGCTATCCATCAAACTTACAAATATAAAGGTGAAATCTTTGGTGTTGGTCTCCAGTAACTCAAATATAAGATCTGAGAATGGGTAGTGTTTCAATGAAACGACAGCATTAAATCTTTGAAAATGTGAGATTCAAACACATGACCTCCCAATATCATTTTCCTTTTTCTGTACTAGTATTCTTTTTAAATATCATGTCAGTCTGTATGATAAATTTTCAAGTTCTAATTTTTTTATTGATTATCTGAAAAAATAAGCCTATTGCCATATAGATTATCATAGAAATATAATGCACTAGATAGTAATGTGATGAGTGACTAAGGGAAAGGGAAGAACTATATTTTGTGCATGCAAATAATTTGTATACTTAACATTAGATAAAAGGTGAGTTTTGAATGTAAGCAAAGAGGATGTATACATTCGTTTTCACCAAAAACAAGTATAATATAAAAGATGTTTGCTTGCACAGCATGCTTTATTACTGTTTATGAATGAATAAAGCTGTTAGTGTGATTTTATTTGTATTTTCTGATGCAATATCGTGTATCTTGTCACAGTACTACAGTTAAGTTCTATGAAGGTAGGTGGTTTGGTTATCTAATGCTAGAAGTATTGTAGTGAGTATTACATTTAAGTAGAGTATTATTTGGTTTGAAATGGTACGTGTTCATTTACTTACCTTTGCACAGTTTTCATCTCAGTAATTTTGGTTCATTTGGGGACAGCATTTATCCCAAACATATAGAAAGGTTTAATGAATATGATTTCTTGAAGTATATTGATTATAGTAGTCATCTGTAAGAGAAATAGATCTAATGCTCTTTTTGATGGATTGTGTTTCTGATATACTACTGATAGGTTCACAACAGTCATGTATTCACAATTTAAAAAAGATATTATATACATTCAGTGTATATTTCTAGTTAAATGTAATTAAAGGTTTATCTTCATTGGTGATAATTATGATGACTAAAAAATTTTGTCTTCTAGTCTTCCCAGTAACATCATTATTCAGTGAATCTAATCCCCTTGGTTGGTGAGGGATTTCCCATACCTGTCCATTGACACTGACAAATACATACGTATGTGCATGTGCTTGTGCATTTTAATCACATTAAAACCCACATTGCATCATACCACAAACCATACCACACTACACTACACATCACATACACATTCTTACACACAGTCTCCAAAGTGTGTTTGCCAATGTGTGTATGTTTGTTTTGAGTGAAAAAAACAAATTCAGGTATTCTTGCTTTACCTTAAGCTTGCAGCCTTTACATAGCCAAATCTCCAATCACTTTGGCTCAGATATCGACAAGAACTTGAGATATGTAATTACAAAGAAATAAGCCAAAATCTGAAAAAAAAGAAAGAGTGATAGTAATAAAAGAATGATAACATTCCACAGTGATTTGTGGAACTTTTTGAAATGTATAATTAACAAACATGACAAGTAGTAATTCCTTTGTTTTCAAATGATCCAGGAAGTTTTGTTACTCCTTGACGTTTATCACAAGCCCTCTTTCTCTATGGTTCTGGGGGGTGGGGGGACTAGATTTTGAATGACAACTATAAGTAGTAAAAAACAATGAAAGAAGTAGAAGATACCTTGGCAGTATTGTATCATTTAACTTACAGTTCAGCAGTAACGAACTGTGCTCACTCTACCTGAACTATCCTAAACTCTTCTTTATATAAGAAATTCTCCTTCAGAATGCAACACAGTAGTTGTAGTTTGCTGTAGTATTTGCAAGTAAATATTAAGGCCCAAATCAGTTGTCACTGATGCCAAGCAGGTATTTTTTTCTTTTTCACAGCTTGATAATTACAATGTCAGGGAAAATGCTGCCCTGAAAGTTAATATTAGCATTCCTAATCTGCGGCTGTTTGTGGGGAACATCCCAAAATCAAAGTCTAAAGAAGAAATTATGGAAGAATTTTCAAAACGCACAGGTAAAGTGAGAGCGCTCAAATGTTTGTTTGTACATCATCATTATCATGAGGTATTCCTCTGAAAAATGCAGGCTTGCCCCTTTTCCTCAGAGGAATACCTCTCCATTTTCATTACCGAATCTACTTGTCTTGAGGGCTGTGGAGTTTATTTCAGGGTTCCAAGTAGATTCACTTTTAAAACTTAATTTATGCCCATATACAGGAATCGTCATATCTTTTGCAGCTGAATGAATATGAAATTCAGCGCGGCAAAAAATTAGGGGTCACTATTTCATACAACAATCATCGATTGTTCGTAGGAAATATCCCCAAGAACAGGGAGCGACATGAATTATATGAGGAGTTTGCAAAGCACGCACGTAAGTTGACCTTTGTGTCACAGGTAGTCAGTGGCTTGTGGGTATGTCAGTCCTAGCTGTGCGTTCTGTCACCATTGACTTGGCAGCTTCTTACACTAAGAATGTGTTTTAAGTGGTCCCCTCTACATTATAGATTTGTAAAGCTAGACATTTCCACAATATAACTGGCTCTAAACATGGTTGCTTGATGGTGCATCATACTCACTGCTCCCCCTGTGAACTCCCCTCCCCCCATTCCACACATCCTAAGTTTATATCTCCCATGGAATAATTTAGTATTAGCACTGTTTGATGCTGTGCTGAAGCTATAGCATCCTTACCTGCAGCAGCTGAAAGGGTTTCAGTCATAGGTTTTTAATTTATCCATTATCATTGTTTTTTTTATTATTATTTTACTTATAATTTTTGTGGCAGTAATTTTTCCAGTTGCCTGGTGACACATTGGCCACTCTTTGTTTTTCCTTGTTGCAGAATCAACATCATTGCCCTGACTCCATCTTGCAAAGTCTTACCATATGGCAAAGCTTGGAGGTATTGCTAAGATATTTAGTTCACAAAAATGTATAAGAAATAGATGCAACCTCAAAGCATTGAGAATGTCATATGGTATGGCCTTGCCTTCTTATACCTGATTTGCTAGTGGTGTTGCTTGCATGTAATTTTATAGCAGTGATGGCTAATTTGGTCCTGTAAAACATACACTAACATGAGTCCATACAGCCCCCTTTCCCTCTTTTTTATTGATTATTTTTTTGTATTATTATTATTTTTTTTAGAGATTTCACTCTTTGTTTATTTGATAATTATTTTTGATTTGTTTGTTCATCTATTATGTTTATACATTTATGATGATCAATTTTAAATTTCTTATTTATTATTTATCATTATATTAGTAATAATTTTTGTGGCTGTGATTTTCCTTAAGGTCTACCAATAATGTTTCTCTCAATTTCTTTTATGATATATATATATATATATATTCATATATATATATATTTATTTTTATTATAATTTTTTTTTAAGTGCCATATGTTTAGATTTAGTTAATGATTGATACACTCTTGCATAGACCTAACACAAAGTTAATTAGTCATTAATGCTCATGAAACATTTTTTAGTAATTTAAGAATTCTTTAATGAGATACTGCATAAGAAATGTAGATACATAGTTCTTGCTTAATTTATTTTTCCATGTTTGCTTAACAGCTGGTTTGGTCGAGGTGATAATTTACAGTTCTCCAGATGACAAAAAGAAAAATCGAGGCTTCTGCTTTTTGGAATACGAGTCACATAAGGTATGTTTACAGATGTGTGTCAGATAGTAAGAATAAGTAAAAAAAAGTCATTGTACTAAAAAACAGCAAGCTTTGCTTTGTGTTCCTTAAATTAATGATGAATCCCCCCCCCCCCATTCTGTAATCGATAGAAAATACAAATTATATTAAAATTTAAGCCACAACACTGATGACAATTTTATGATACTTGGCAGGCTGCTTCCTTGGCAAAGCGGCGATTAAGCTCTGGACGATTTAAAGTGTGGGGTTGTGAGATCATAGTTGATTGGGCAGATCCACAAGAGGAACCAGATGAAGATACTATGTCTAAGGTAGGCACAAAATATAACCCTCACTTCTTTTCCTCTCTCTCTCTCTCTCTCTCTCT